GACATGTTGAAGGCCTAGGGCAGGAGGTGGGGGCAGCCTAGATGGGGGTCACCGGAGGTCAGAGGCGGTGGTGAGAAAGGGGGTATATAGGAAATCCTTTCCACAATAGAGATTTTAAAATACCGGAAACATGATGAGATAGTTGTTTGCAAGAAAAGGAGAGTTTTCTGGATGAAAAGAAAGCATTTTCGAATCCAGGGGAGATGTAGGTTAACCAAAGGAAGAAACTCCTGCTTAGATCAGCAGCAGATCCATCTGCGAGACGTGAAGGCGGCTGCCCTGCCTTCAGGGAGCTCAAGACAAGGAAACAGCAAGCACGCATGGAGCTCGGGAAGCAGCCAGGACGATATTTCATCCAGTCTAGACTGTGGGCTCCAGCTCGCCGAGTCGGCGCCTCCGGACCAGATGGAGAGCAGAGAGGCAGGGCACAGGGAAGGCTGAGCAGTCTGCGAGCGGAGGGAGGCTTCAGGAGAGAGCCTTTCTTAGGCGGACGGGGTGACAGCATCCAAAAGCAGAGACACCAGTGTTTTTTGTTGTGATTTCCCCAGTTAAAAAAAAAATAATAAAAAAAAAATATATATATATATATATTTATTTATTATATATAATATCATATATAATATAATTTATATCCATTATATATATAATATCATTATATATTATATTATATATTATCATTATTTATTATATATATAAAATATCACCATGCAGTACACGCAGAGACATTTAACCTTGTTAAAATATGAGGTATCTGATGTTTCTGTTTTTCTCCATTTTTTTTAAGTGTTGGGTTAACCCACCAATAGGTTGAAAACTTCTAAGGGGACTAGGAGCCCAGAGTGGAAGCAGAGCTGAACCTGCTCTGGGGAGTGGGGAGAGGGGGTATTGTTGGTGGGATGATGGCCTCCAGAGGTATAAGTGAATTACTTTGGGATGTTATGGCAAAACATCAGATGATCCACTTCTCACACAAAACACTTCTTACCAGAGTTGCCTTTGGACAGTAAATTGGCCAAGAAAGCTTTTTTTTAAAAAAAAATTCCTTTTGATGCTTGATTTCAGTTTAGTACCACTCAGCAGGGGGATGCAGGTGGGGGAGAGAAATTTGCTTCTGGATTCTCAAGAGCAGTAACACCTGTTTTGTCTCATCTTGTGATTAGCTGTGGGATTTTGCTGTAGCATGTAGCACTGAATCCAGTAGTTTCCTAGAAGAAAATAGAGGGAATGTGTCCGTGGGCAGGTCTAGGAGAGAAAAGGGACGGCATCTTGAATGCCATGCTTCTGGAAGGCGCACGGTATGGTCAGTTGTGTATAGCAAGACTAATTACAAATATCAATAGAATGGACCTGGCCCAGGGCTAGAGAACTCTGTGACATGAGTGTCTGCTCCCTGCTGTTACCAGAATAAAGGGGTTCTGCTCACCTGCCCCCATCAAAGCCCCCTCAAATGTGAACAGAGAGTTTTATTAGTTGAGGAAATAGCACCAAGCCCGGAGTCCCAGGCAAGCTGCTGCTCAAAGACCCGGCCCCCTGGTGATGGCTTCCCTGGGGTGGGCTATATGGGGGAAAGTCATTCATCATGGCGGCTAAAGGAGTGGGGCCATGCGCTCTGCTGATTGGTTGGAGCCAGGTAGAGAGTAGCTGACCGTTGTGTCTGGTCCTGATGTCAGCCATGGCGTGGTTCTGTCTGGCCTCAGGAGGAGATGATCCATAGGGTCCTTCTACTCTCATTGGCCTGAGGCTGAAACACAGCTGAAGTCTAGATGTTATCTTTCACTGGACTGAAACTCTGGTTCTGTGACCAGCAGGCTTGAGGCTTTGTTCTTAAGACAGGTTGATACTGACCAGAATCTGATGTTCAAGGGGCTTGATGACTGAAGAAGGGAGTGGACAGGCAGGAAGGAGACAGGGTCGTGTTAAAGAGATGGAGTGACTGCCCGGGTACACTGCTACTTGGCATTTCACCTGGAAGACTCAGGTTCAGAACCTGGATTCCTGGTTGGAGGTCTAATTGGGACCTTTCATGGCTATTACTTTGAAAGCACTTGTGAGACCGTTAAGAGTAAAACTTGCCTCTTTTCCCAACTGATGATCTTTCTCCCCCCCAACCCCCCCGGATCTCCAGGTCTGCCCTTGTCTTCCCAGTTTGTTCTGATCTGTTCTCTTGGCTCAGACTCAAAGGCCAACATGCACAGCATCATCCTTCCCCTTCTTGCTGCTTCTGCTGAGCCCATCTGTAGCACATACAGGTTGACTGGTGTTGGCAGTTATTAATTAAATCTTTGCCTTGCCTCATGTGTCTAAGAGAAAAAGGAGGCCAGATAAAAGAGAAGCATTTTTGATCTCTTAAGGGATTTGCCATTGACCTTGTCCTCCAAAGAGTAAGGGAAGGGGGGGATCTTTCCTGCTTGGTGCTATAGACATTGAACTCCCTACACGCCCACATGTAACTAATTTTAAGAAATCCCTGCAATCCCATTTTCCTCTGCCCGAGTTGAGTGCACAGCGCTGAAAAGGAAAACCCTTTCATGTGGCCGTTCTTTGAATAAGTATTTTCAGTCCTGTCCCCTGAGATTTCATAGCTTTTGATCTTCCCAGTCCCGTTTTAATTTGGTTCGGGGAGGATTTAAAGACAGCATGAATAACGGAGCATGGGATCCTGTGCGTAGGAATCATGAGTCCTACATGTACTTCAGTAAACTCTGGTTTGTTTTGGCTTGTAAAAAACAACGCCCTCTGCGGGAAAAAGGCTGCGGGCTGTTTCTTGGTGTTGGCTACGTCTTGGTTTTCAGCAAAGCTTCCCGAGGGACTAACAAAGGCTTGTGCCTGGAGTGGTCTCTGGATTGTGTGCCCCTCCCCTTCCAGAGAAGGCCCGATTCGTAATTGGAGATAAAACCTCATGTCTTCTTTGCGAGCAGCTTGACTGTTGTCAGAGAGTGTGGGTGACATTGGCCCGGACACCTTCCTACGTGGTTAGAAACGTTTAGAAAGCCGTCGCGTAGAGCTGCCCCGAAGCCTGGAATTCATGTTAGAAATCCAGGTCCTCAGCTGCATGAGCTACATGGGCGTGCTTCAGGAGGCGGCTGCAGTCTTGTATTCGGGGCCGGCTGCTTGTTTGTTGCGGGGAGGGGGCTGTCCTATGCATTGAAGGATGTTTAGCAGCACCCCGGCCTCGAGATGCCAGGAGCGCCCCCTATTCATGACAATCAGGAATGTCTGTGTAGATTGCCAAAAATCACCCCGGGCTGAGAAGCACTGCAGAGGGGTGTGATTTGGAGCAGTGCAGATATAGAATATTTCTATTAATGCAGACAGGACTGTTCTAGAAAAATCCCTAGCAAAGTTTGGTTTGTGGCATTTTATAGATTACGTTTTTTGAGCTCTAAGGGGATTAGTGTGTCATTGAGTGCAATGCCATGGGAAACTGAGGCACAGAGAGGTTTTTCTGAGTAACTTTAGGTTCATAGCATATAACTGTCCGTGTAGAGTTGTGGACTTAAAGTTCATGCAAACTTGGGGACAAACTTCTCATTTTCATTCAAGCTTATCATTCTCTCTGTGTTCTTTGGGGAGGGGTGGGGGAGGATTATGAGGGATTAGGGGAAGAGTCCTGAAGATGGGAGGGTCCAGCCCTGAGACTCTCAGAGAAGTAAATTCCTGACTTGAACCCTGGGTACACCTGTGTTTCTCCTCCATGGCCTGTGCTCCCTCTGAGGCCCCGCCTCCAGGCTGGGGACAGCTGGTAGACCCACCCCTGCTCAGTGAGAGGGCGGAGCCCCATTGGGTTTCCCAGTTCCATCCTGGCAGAGAGGCTGGGGACACTCTGGAGCCACAGAAGACTGTGCTCCTGAGAAATTCCCTTTTGTTAGTTTTTTAATCTCCAGTATCTCTTCCATCCCCTTCCCCGAAGGTGATCCATGGCATAGCCTTCAGTATGGAGTTTCTGGTGGTTCTTTGGAGGCCACAAGGCGCCCTGGAGACCTGTGGATAGAGTTTGGGGAGTGCGGAGGAGGCTCTCTCGGGAGGCGGGGTGGGGGGGGCAGGTGGCTTTAGCGACAGGGGTGAGAAAGCAGGCTTTGCAGGGGGGCGCCTGGAGGTGACCAGGACCTGCAGAGTGACCCATGGGCTTGGAGGTGACCCAGGATCTTTCCTCCCCTATTGATCCCATGGGCCTCACCTCTCGTGATGACTTCTTAGGTCGCCGGTTTTATCCTCTCTCTCCCCTGCTCCAGACCTTTAGGGGCTCGCTGCTTGCTGCCTTCACTTTTGAAACTTCTTGGTCTTGTACTCAAGGCCCATCTTCTTGTACGTGGAGACCCTCTCTTCCTTTTGTAAGAGTGACAGCTAACTTCCTGTGCACAGTGCTCTGCCGGGGCTGGGGTTCGGCCAGGGGGCTTTGCTCCCATTCTTTGCTGTGAAATAGCTCGCTCAGGAAGCTGCTTTGTTTTCTGTGATACTGTGTTGAGTCCGTAGCCTGGACAACTGCTTAAAATCAGTACACGGCTCAAAACCCAGGGCCCGGGAAGCAGGCCGGAGAGAGTGGCAAAAAAGGCAGACAGAAAGTTACATGTATTATAACCCCTCCGATGGCCTTGAGCCGTTGGGGTTTGGGTCTGTAACTCCGTGGGCCCAGGGAGCTGTGGGCCAGGTCAAAGGCCCTTGCCCTGAGAGGCCGCTGTCAGGCTGAGCTGGGAACAAGCTAATGTGTAAGCTGGCCTGGCGGGCTCTGTACGTTGCCTCATCGCCCCAGCTCCAGCTCAGACAAGTAACCTCATTGCAGAGCTGGTGACCGGCGGCTATTTCATGGAACTGCTGATGTTTCCTTTTGGGAAGCCGGCTTTCTTGAGTGCCGCCATGGTGAAGGGGAAGGTATTTTTAAGGCGCCTATGGGGTGGAGGGGTGGAGAGGGGGGGAAAGGGTTTAATGTGAGCCACAGCAGAAAAGGTTGGGAGCAGGAGGCCGCTGTCGCTGACGCTGTGTCTGTCCCCTTTGCTCTGCAGACCAACGAGTGGAACAAGAACGATGACCGGCTGCTGCAGGCCGTGGAGAACGGAGATGTGGAGAAGGTGGCCTCGCTGCTGGGCAAGAAGGGGGCCAGCGCCACCAAACAGGACAGCGAGGGCAAGACCGCGTAAGCGATGGGGCGTGGTTTCTGACCGTGCGGCTCTCGGCTCTCCCAGTGTTCCCTGGTACCCCGAGGTTCGCAGGGGACCTCCACGAGGCCCGGGGGGGCTTTGAGAAATTGCTGTCCCCGGGCCCCAGGTCAGTGTGTGGAAGAGGGCATGTCAGTCCAGTTCCTTTCCTCCAGGCTCCAAGTGACACCTGGCATAGCTGTATATGCTCCCGGGTTTAGGCAGAGATTTCACCAGGGAAGCAAGAGCGCCAGGATGGCAGCCAGCTGACGGATGGGAAATGACTTCCATCCTGGCCTAGATGCAGCCTGAAAGAGAAAGAGTATTTCATAACCGTGAAACTTTACTACTTCTATTATTTTTTAAACCCCTTTCTAACATAGGCCCGTAATGACATGAGTGGTAGGAATCTTGCTCGCCATAATTAAAGCTATTCGGTTGTGTGTGTGTGTGTGTGTGTGTTTCCGTCCTTCCTCTGGTCGTGCAGTAGAGAAATCATTGACTTCGGAGCCACATGGACTTCTAATCTGGATTCTATCACTTACTAGTCTGCGGTCCCGGGATCTCAGTTTGCTCGCTGTAAAATGGAGATGGTGTATTCACCTCCACAGTATTTGAGTCTAAAACAAGATGCCAATGTTGGGTGGGCACCCGCAGAGCAGGCTCTGAGACAAGAATCCGAGTACAGGTCGTTTCTCTCGCCAGCCACCCAGGAAGGGCTCAGCGAGGAGGTGAAGTGGCCTGCTGTTGGCAGCTTACTGCTAGGGCCAACTGGAATGCGTTGTCACTGAGAACTTCTGGGAATCTGTTTAGACTTAGAGCAGGGGTTGGCCAACTGCTGTCTATCTTTGTAAATAAAGTTTTATTGGAGCGCAGCCAAGCCCATTATCGATCATTGCCCGGGGCTGCTTCTACACTGGGAAGGCAGATGTGAGTGGTCAGACAAAGACTGTGTGGCCCATAAAGCTGAACATGCTAACTGTCTGGCTTCTTACAGAAAGAGTTTGCTCACCCCAGCTTTGAAGTGTGCCTCAGAGTTACCCCACCCAGGGGGTAAGGAAACTGGGGTATCTATTCCCACTCTCTCGTCCGTCCAAGGCTGAGTGCTGCTCTGAGGGACCATAGGTTTATGGCCAGAACAAATCCAAGAAGATAATTGGTGGGACACCTAGAGAGATCGGTACTGTAGGCAAGGAGCTAGCACAGTGCCCAGCCACAGTAGGCTCTTGATAAAGCCCGTTCCCTTTGCTTTTTAGCCTAGAGGAGAGGGTCTCAATCCTGCCACCATTAGAATCGCCTGGGGTGCTTTAAGAAATATCGATGCCATGCCCACCCCAGATGCCCTGTATCACTTGGTCTTGGAGAGGCCCAGGAATCAATACTTTATGGTGTCCATGTAGAGAGAACCAGCGTCTAGAAACTACACTGACTCTAGATGGAAGGATCAGTAGGAGAATAAAAGGCACTTTTTCCTCAGATCGGGCATCACATTTTAGCAAGTGTTGCCAACGAAGCCCTCTTCCTGACACCCACTCTATCCCATAGCACAGACGCCGGCCCCGGTGTGTGGGAGCCAGATAGCTCCAGGGGCAGAGCTCTGTCCAGGGGCCAGGCTGGCTGTTTCGGGAAGAGCAGGGAGAAGCGTTCTCTCTCCATCACTGTCTGGTCCTCTACGAGCTGGGCTGGTCCTCAGCCAGAGCCCCAGGGTGAGCGCCCTCCCCCGGCGTTGGGTTGGCTTTGCCTTCGCAGAGGCACAGGGCGCTAACCCGGTGAACTCTGACCTGACAGCCAGGGCGCCGGGTACTGGGAGGCCTTGGTTGTTGGCTGGTGTGTTGAGCCTTCCCAGCCTTTTGTGGCTGTCAGTGCTTAGCCCTCTGGCTTCTAGATTAAAGTTCTCTTGGTAGAAGGGATTGTCACTGTACACGGCTGTCATTACACCAGCTAGCCCACCGCTGGGCTTGTTGCAGATACCCAGAGAGTATTTGTTGAATGAGTCCATTAACCTTTTCCCACAATGCCCCACGTGAAGTCAGAGCTGTTGGATGGACAAGGCGGAGGCCACCGTCCTGAGATTTTGGGTGCTAGACATGGTGCTTTTGGACCCCTTCCTGCAGCATTGCACAGCTTTCTTGGCTCCTCCTCCCCCATCCAGCTTTGCAAGCGTCTGCACCAAACCACCTTTCACCGTTCTGCCAGGGAGAGGGGAGATAGCGGTTTGTGATAGTTTAGTCTGAGACAGTACCCACTGAAATGAAAATAGAACATTTACATTAGCAGCTTAGCCACGGTTGTGACCAGCTGGATAAATGTATACCTTTTGTTAATAAGGATGTGCAGAGAGCACAGTCAGAGTGTTGTTTTCTACTCTCTCTCTTTTCTTTTTATTGTGGTAAAATACACATAACATAAACGTATCAATTTCCGTAGCATTACATACATGTTGTATAACTGTTTTCATTGTCTTTTCCCAGACATTTTTCATCATCCCAAGTGAAACCTTGCACCCATTCGGCAGTGACACTTTCCAACCTCTTTCCCCCTCCCCGTGGCAACCGCCGGTCTGCTTTCTCTCTGTGAATGTGCCTGTTCTGGGTATGTCATAGAAGTGGGACCATACAACGTGGGGCCCTTGTCTCTAGCTTCTTTCACTTAGCACCGTGGCTTCAAGGCCCATCTTTGTCCCATGAGTCACTGCTTCATCTGAGTCTCTTACAGAGCAGTTAGTTACACAAACATCACCCCTCCGTTTTGCAGACGGTAACACGAAGGCCCACCTGATACAGCCTTTGCTGCATTCACTTCGGCGCCAGTGCTAGCATGCCCATCTTTGCACGCGCAAGCCTGCCATTTTCCCCTAGAACTGTGAAAAAGAGAGAAAGGAGGTTTTCTTGTTTTGTTTTTGTTTTTTGTTTCCAGTGCACGGTTTTCCAGAGCTCATCTGTTACCATGTAATCTTTCTGCTTGGAATATTCCTTTTGACGCTGACAGTTCCTGACTGATAACTACAGGGATTTAAGTGTGAAAGGCACCACGGGGTTAAATCTGTCTGGCTTCATATTTTCTTTCAAACCAAATGGTCTTCGTGTGCAGAATGAGAGGGGCTGTCGCTGGAAACCCTCTCTCCTGTCCTCCAGCATCATGCCATGATGTTAGCCAGGCCAGGGGTGCACGACAGCAGCGAGTCAGGGCCGTATGGTCCCCAGGGTGCAGCCTTCCCCTCGCACACCTGCACGTCTGCACTGGACTCGGTGAGGCCTGTGCATCTGCCTGCCTGCGCGTCGCCTCCCTCGCTTGATCTCCCTCCCGCTGTGGAGACTGTTCTGTTCCTGTGCCTGTTCTGTCCACATGTGCTGGTGTGGTAGCACGTGAACTGCTGACCTGCTAGCAGTGGTCCTGCATGTGTGACAGGCCAGCCCAGCGTGTCCCTCCACTGGAGAGCTTGGCCCCGTGGCCCTGTGCAGCCCGCACGGCCCCATCTCATTGGGACGTGCGTGCAGTGTTTTATATTTGTCTCCAGAGGACGAGGCCAGGGCACGCACTGGGAAGTGAGGTCCGTGCTGGGACTTGGCCTCGTTCTCTGCCGGCTCGTTCGGGTTCGCCCTGTGATAGATCCACCTGCGTGTCAGCGTGAGGCGGAGGCCTATTTTCGGAGCCTTTGTGAGAGCCCGCTTTGCTCTTTTCCTCAGCAGCGCACAGTTCCTCTGCTGCCTGACAGCCTGGAGCCCTGATGTTGGCTTTCAAGGGTCCTTCACCCCCGCCCGGCCCCTCCTGAGCTCATGTTCCTCGCACTTGCCTTTGCCGCAGGGGATGGGGGGCTGTCTGCGCCCTGCCCTCCCGCAGGGGAGACGTCCAGGCGGTGGCCCAGCTTCTCTGTCCGGTCAGAGCGCCTCCCTCTCCCATGTGCTCAGTCCTGTGTGGGTTTTCTTCTCTTTAAACCACTGCAATCCTGGTTTAGAGTTTGATGTATGAACAGGAGCAACAGCACAAAAGACTCAAAGCTTAGGACAGACCTTGGCTGTCTGGGAGACATGCATCCCGCACAGCGGGGAGCGGGGCTCGCTGAGGGGCAGGCTCTCGGGGTGTCGGGGTGTCGGCAGCTGTGCTGGTCTTGTCCACTCTGCTAAGCACAGAAGAGGCCTTTGGTCTGAATTTGTGGGAGTGACTTTTCAGGGTGGTTCTCTGGATAAAACACTCTCCTCTTTGCCGGGAGAAGTCTCCTGGGCCAGTTCATTAGGGATGAAGTGGCTTGGGGTCCGAGAGGAAAGGAGCTGTCCTGGTGAGTGCCACAGCCGTCACTCAGCTCCCCCAGCTTCCAGTGCATTTTTTTTTTTTTTTTTAGTTTAAAAAAATATATATTTTATTGATTTTTTTACAGAGAGGAAGGGAGATAGATAGAGAGCTAGGAACATCTATGAGAAAGAAACATCCATCAGCTGACTCCTGCACACCCCTTACTGGGGATGTGCCTGCATCCAAGGTACATGCCTTGACCAGAATCGAACCTGGGACCCTTGAGTCCGCAGGCCGACGCTCTATCCACTGAGCCACACCGGTTAGGGCTCCGGTGCAGTTTAAATAGGAGCATGCCAGCCTTTCCTACCTAAACACCCCGTGACCCCCAAAGTCCTGGGAACGAGGCGGCCGGGGCAGCCTGTCGGCAGACATTCTCCAGACGCCTTCCCAACCCAAGGTCAGCGGCCTGATGGGCGGTTTGGTCCTTCTTCGGCCTTGGCCGTCTCTCCCTGCAGCACAGCCTTTAGGGGCGGACGAGACCCCTGGCCTGGAAAGTGCCTCCCTCTACAACTGGCCGGAGAGCGGCTACAAACGAGTAAAAGCAGCCGACCGGCTGGAACTAATGCAGGAAAAGAGGAGGAGAAGGCGGTGTCTCGGGTCCGAAGGGAGTAGGGTGGAGGCGGGCAGCCAGCTGAGCTGCAGGCCGTTCATGGAGCCGGGCCTGGCTTCCCCGCCCGCCTGTCCCGGCCCCGGCCCGGGCCCCGGC